TTTGTTACTGATTATATTGCATTACAGGGACAAGGGGCATTTTTAAAGAGCCTCCTTATTATCTCTTAGCACTTTTTATTGCAATGAGATCAAGTTACAACTGGTTTAGTGAGATGTAAATCCTAGGAGGCATGAGATTCCTAAATCTATGGCAAGTATTAGATCACTGTGATACTATATTTCAGCTTCGCTAGTAGCCATGATAATTACAAAATAAACAATTGCCCAGAATAAACAGTCGGTGACAGGTTGTTCGTTTGCTTTTCAGATGTGAGAATGAGATAAAAAACACCTTCATTTAAAGGAATAAAGCATCTGTTTTGAATTTAATGATAAGAGGAGACTGCATCAGCTAAAAGGCCGTGGAATTTAGTAGAATATAAAATGACGTTTCATTATTTTCCCTTTATTCACAGGTGACTGCTGACGACGGACATCTCACTTGGAAGAAAAAAATGGTGTCTAAAATGAATGAGCATTGTGGTTGGAAAGTCATTAACCCTTAATTAGAAGAAGTAAATGTGTAACCTTCTAAGGCACTCTGAAGTTTACTTTTAACGCCTGAAAATTTATTTCTCCTCACCACCTGCATCTAAAAAGAAAAAACAGAAGATTTCATATATGATCTATGAACAATTGACTCTTTGTAGGTGACTAACTCTACTGATTTGTAGGCTATCCTGCTTGTAAACTCAAAGGATTAAAGGGGGCAAGGTACTTCTTTGCGCCTCATACCATTTGTTCTAGGGCATGGGGAGTAGTAGCCTCTGCAGAGATATTCCCCCACCTCGCACCAACAGGTGACCCTGCTTGCCAGGAGCAACAGTGAAACAGAAAGGGAGACTGACTCCTTTAGTTACAATCTGCCTCCCAGACTGCTCCAGCAGCGGCTGTCCCGTCTTACTCTCGGCTGATCACAAACTGTTTAACTGGCAAATGGCTAGATTGTCAATCTCATTGCAACTCTGCAGAAGCAGTAGGAAAAATATGTGGTTTAGTCCTGGCCTCAAGATATGTTCTCCTAAAATGATAGCTTGTACAGGAATGTCTCAATCAAAGTTCTAATTTGGCCTCCAGCTACCTACCTCTTCTTGATTCTTTTGGCTTTACAGCACATTCAAATACCTGTACCTTCTGCAGCGAGAGGAGACTGTATTGTCTTCAAGTCAGCATGAGATGCCAGTCTCCTGGGCTCAAAGCTGTCTAGATTTGTTAGGCTGACTTTAAAGTGGAAGGAGGAGGACGAAGGAAGTGCATTCATTCATACTAAATACTCTGGCTAATGAAGTGATAAGGTGGAAAACAGCAAGGAGGAAATAAATGGATGTGCATAGATGAAGGGCCTGATTTTCAGAGGTAATGAACTCCTTGAGCCTTTTGAGTTTAGATGGAGTCGAGGGTTTCAGCACTTCTTTAAATCAAGCCCCAAGAGTCTATGTTCCAGTGCTATGAACATTGGCAATAAGCAAGACTAGCCCCAAATGATACTGTATGAAGAAGAGTGTGACCTAATAGTCTTAACCAAAACTTGGTAACCTTGATTGGTATAACCTGTGGAGATGAGAGAGGGACATGATTGAAAAGGAGGAGACAGAATAGAGGCACTCTGTTAAAAGTACTTACAGCATTGGTGGGAATTCCACATTCTTGCTGCTTTTCCGCAGGGAAAGCCCTTGAAATTCCTCTGGAAGATTGCCTCTGCTGCTACCATTTGTGCTTTCTCACCCAGCATATGGGTTACAATAAAATGGACACCATTCTTGTCAGTTTCACCCAGCTGTCTCTGCTGGGCTGGCAGCACTAAAGAGCTGAGGTGGGGCAATCTTCCACTTCTTGTATTCAGATCTGTTGCAACTTGATACCAGTTCTTGGTGCATTATGTGCTAGCTTGGCATGTGGGAATGAGTGATGTTCTAAAGTGGCTGGCCCACAGAGAGGATCAGACTTACTGCTCCTGTAGTGGTTGGTTATCCTTCAGTTCAACCTGCAGAGATGTGTGACTTGGAAGCTGAAGGACCAGGATGTTAGTTCCAGCTATCCATTTGTGTGACTGTTACAGAAATTTGTCTGTTGCTTACAGCCCCCGAATTTGTCACAACAATGCTATTCACTGCTACTCTCACAGATATTTGTCTCTGTTATTGGAATTTTAAATGAAAAAATCATTACCTTCCTACAAGAGTGTCAGTGCAGGGAAATATCTGCAGATCAGTTCCACATAATTACATCAGAGCTTGTTTCTCATGGAATATGAATCAATTTCCTGAAAAAGTATTTTGATTTGTGTTTTCTGCTACATTTAGGTATACTTAAGTGTTTAGGGTCCAATCCTTCTATCCTTACTCACACTGTGTCACACTGATTTGAATGTACCACACATCGTACATAAGAGTGGCAAAATCTGGTCCTCGGGTAGCTGCAACTCAGTCTGAGATTCCCCCATCCCCCTACTTCTGTAATAACTTCGGTGTTTTTGCATTGGGCCTAGTAAATCAATTTTGTTCTTGACACTGTGATTTGCCTCCAGGCTGCTTTTTGTCACTGGAAAGAAAGTACTGCAAATATGTGGATTAGGTAAGAGTCAGTAGTTAACGAAACACTAATGTTAGAAATCTGTTTTTGGAGAGTGATGTTTTGCTAGACCATTAGTATTTGTTATGGTCAGGACAGCATGATTAATTTCTTAACTGAAAACACCCTTTTTTGCTATCTCCTGGAAACAAACTGCAGATTATTGCAGTTTGAGATTTGTTACAGAGGATTTACCATGGAAATCCATAATGAAATTCTGCTATATTTTAAATTAATGGCATAGATTCCAAAGCGTGCTAGTTTTATTTTTTGTCTATAAGACAAGGTTCCTGCCCTGAGGAGTTTACACTACAAACAGGACTTATTAATGACAAAAGCAATCAGTTCCAACCACAGTACATTTTTCTGCAAATTTTGTTCCACACACGTGACATACACTTTAACATAGTGTTAATGAAGAATTCTCTCCCTTACCCAAGCATATGGTTGTAACCTGCAGGGAAAGCTTCAGTGATTACTAGATTTTTTTAAACATAATTTAAGTAAGTTGAATTACCATAGCTCACTTTGAAATAAACCAACTGTACTCAGAGTAGCAGCCGTGTTAGTCTGTATCCGCAAAAAGAACAGGAGTACTTGTGGCACCTTAGAGACTAACTAATTTATTTGAGCCCACGAAAACTTATGCTCAAATAAATTTGTTTCTAAGGTGCCACAAATACTTGTGTTCTTTTTACCAACTGTACTGTGCTTTGTGAACTGGGTGCATATTAGTGACCGGTTTTTATGGAGGCACATGTATCAAAATTGAGAAACACAGCAGTTAGGGCTTGATTCTTTGATGTGCTGACCACTTCCTTGAGATGCTAAACACCCTCATTTCACAGCAACTTTAAAAGAGTTGAGCAGCTACTTTCTGCATGCCACTAGTGCCTCAAGGGATCAGCCCTAAAACTTTTCACCCATTCCCCAAAGCTAGTACTGTTTTTGCATGAAAAATCTTAAAAATTTTAAGAGATAGGCATGGTAGGCCCCCATCGGGAACAGAGTTAAATGATTTGTCTTTGAATAATATGGTTCCAGTTAAACTGGTTTCTAACAAACTTTGAGAGGGGCCTACTCTTGCCATGTTGAAGAACTAGCAAATTCCTGTGCTAGCTTTAAAAACTTCTTTTTAGTTTTAAAATGCTTCTTTGAGCCCCAGCTATGCTGTATAGGGTAAGTTAAGTTGCTAAAGGCTGATGCAAGACATTTCCTCACTCCAGCAGTTGAGAGCTAGCCTCTCAGTCCTTGCTACTAGGGAAACATGGGACCTGAAATCTGATCTTTCCCAGAGCAGCAGTGTAAGGTACAAGCCTGCTGGACTGTCCCTGTAGGTTTTTTTCCCTGGCAGTGAGAGAGCTCACTACAGCTGGTTTTAGGCGACTGTACTAACCAGCTTCTGATTGTTGCAGGCCAAGCAGTGTCAACTCTGGGGGACTGAATAGCTGACCTGTTAAGTATCCCTAATTCTGTTATGATTCCCCATCCCATACACAGCAGAGAATAACTTGTGCATCTGATGAAGTGAGCTGTAGCTCAGGAAAGCTTATGCTCAAATAAACTGGTTAGTCTCCAAGGTGCCACTAGTACTCCTTTTCTTCTTGGGAATACAGACTAACAGGGCTGCTACTCTGAAACCTGTCATCATGCAAGGCACTGCATTTAGCCCTATGGAGTGGAAATCTATCAACTTCATGAAAAGGAATGCATCCGATGAAGTGAGCTGTAGCTCACGAAAGCTTATGCTCAAATAAATTGGTTCGTCTCTAAGGTGCCACTAGTCCTCCTTTTCTTTGTGCACAACACACTCAGATCAACATGCCCCAGTCATAGGCTGGGATCTGCTTGAAAACCCCTCTTGGTAGTGAAGATAAGAGCTGGGCTGCGATCCTCCATTTTATGCCAATTCGCTGGGATCCTCGCTCGAAGGGCCACCACAGCCCTTGAGCGGGGCAGGGGCGGCTGCTTGGGAACATCTACAGCTGGCTCCGCGCCAGGCGCAGAAGAACATTTCCCGCCTTAGAGCCGAGGCGCGTCTTCCAAATGACCCTCAGTCCTCGCCCCAAAGCCCGCGGTGCCCCAGCACTTTCCCCGGTGGGAATGAGCGACGCTGGCGACGAGCGCCAGGAGAGTTGGTCCGGCGCCAGGGCAGCATCGCAGCGGTGCAGATTTGCTGCAGCAGCAGCAGCGTTTCCCTCATGGTGGGTCTTTGTCCCTCAGGTGACCCTGGCCCGAGGCGACCTGAGCCCTGCGGCCCGGGGGGGCAGTGAGGAGACGGAGCCTGAGAGAGGCAGGCTGAGGGGCCGGGCAGGGGCGTCGGGGGCCGCGAAGCGGCACTCGGGGGTCACCAGCGGCAGAACAGGCGGAGGGAGGTAGGGAGGAAGGGAGGCCGGCGTCTCCCCCCGCGTCCGTGCGTCTCCCTCCCCCCCGGGGGCGGTGCGCGCTGACGCGGCAGCGCTGCTGCTCTCGGCCTAGGGGAGTCGCACAATTATGAGAAGGAGCCGCCGGGCCAGGACCGCCACCGCCAGCGTTGGGTCCCGGAGCAGAGCCGAGCTCGAGCCGCCCCGCTCTCCTCCTCGCCCCTGGAGCGCTGTCCGCTCCCGGCCTCTCCCTGCCCAGCCCCCCGCAGCCGCCGAGCTCAGCCCCGATAGATGGAGACAGGCCCCGCCACCGCCGAAGCACGAGCAGCAGCAGCCCGGGCCGAGGAGAGCCAGAGCCGGCGCCGAGACCCAGCCCGACCCTGAGGAGAATGGTGAGGGGCGGGGGTGGCTGGGTTGTCTGGTCTGGGCTTGTCCCACCTCAGCTCCGACTCGGCCCCGGGAACCGCAGTGGGTTCGCCGGCTTGGAGCGAACAAGTCCCCGCCGGCTGCTTCGAGCCCGAGCCGGCCAGGGCCGCTCGCGCCCGCCCGCCCCCTGCCCCCTTGGCGGAGTGGGCATGGGGCTAGCCCATGGCGGCACCCCCGCGGCTCCCGGGGCTGTTCAGCAAGGGGAGTGCTGACGCCTCACGGCGCGCTGTCGTAGGCAAGCTAGTGGCGGGGAAGAGCCGGCTCAGGTGTTTCCGTCGTAATGGGCCCAGGTGTCGGCTCGCCAAGAGGGGCGCGCAGCTCTCCGAGAGGTCACTGCACGTTTCCTGGAGCGGATGGTGTCTTCCTTCACCCTGCGCCCTCCAACAAAGCGAGTTTGGTGTCAGAATAACCCTCTTGCTAGTTTTCAGTGTTTGTGTTGTCTCGTTATCCTCTCTCGGGACTAAATAATCCAGGTTTCGTCATACTTTAAATAGGCAAGAGCTTGCCATTGCACAGTATTTTTCGGTATTTATCGTATGTAGGCTTGGAAGGATTTGATTTTTACCAGTAAGCGTCAATTTCACCACACTCACACAAACCAGTGACAACGATTTTTCATCAATAATAATCGAAAGAAAAATGCTGCTCGAGATCTTATTCGCGTTTGATGTGTATATTTTAACATGTGATGTTGGCAGTTTGCCTTTGTAAAGGTTCTAAAGCTTTAACTTCTTAAATCTTAACATCTGCTGTCATTAAATAATTATTTTCTGCCCTCCCCCCACCCACCGAAGTTTGTTGCAACTGTGAAAACTTAAATGGCTGTAAACTGGAAAAAAAAATGCTTAAACCCCATAATTTTGCACAACTGAAAATTTTAATAAAAGCTTAAACATAAACATTGATAATATCTGTCAAAATCATGAAAATTGAATTCTGCCAAGCGTACTCACATGTGCGTCTTGATATAACCCACATTGTAGTATTGCTGCATACCATACTGAGAATTTGAATCTGGGGTCTACCAGTTCAGCTCCTTCTCTCTTTTGCTTAAACTGCTTGCTTGTTTTGGGTCTTGTTTCTATTCAAGAATATCACTTAATTGTGACACACAGTCTTTTTAATAACGTACCCCTTTAATCATTTGCCTAGTCAATCAGAATTATTTTGTACACAGCTATATCTTTCTGAGACTTAACCAGTCCTCCATTTTAATTTTTCCTGCCTATTTAATTCTTACATGTCATAACTTTATGTAAATAATAATACTAGAGTGCAGGTCCTAATATAGAGCCCTTTAAGACATTGCTACTTCCAGCCTTCTGCAAAGTATACTCAATTTTAATTTTAACCTTCTGTTTTTAATTACTAACCAGTTCTTTATCCCTCTGTTAATTGTGTAGCTGATGCTTAGAGTTGGTACAGCAATCCATCATGTTGAACTGGTTCAAAAGCATTCCGAAAATCCAAATAGTGGTAAACAATAGATTTAATATTCTATCTAGACTAACGTTTTTAATTTTAAAAATGTTTTATAACATGACTTATTGTGTGAAACCATGTTGAGTCTCACCTAATATGTTGTACATTTCTATACACAACTGTTATGCCTCTTACTAGTACAGATGTAGGATTTAGAAATTCTAGGACAGATGCTGAAAATTAGACTTCTCTATTTTAAATATTGGGACCTAGATTTGATGAGTTGACAGATTGCATCACAAAGTTTCATCCTGTATTTGTTAGTCACAGTATGTAACAGGAATGTATTGCAAATTGATCCTTAATTATCACAGGTTTCTGGGTTGAATTAGCATTAGCTGACTTATTTATTTTCTGGCAGTGTTGTAGATGCATCATAGTGTCTTGTACCTCCTGCTTTCGTTGGTGTTTGTCAAATGTTTCATGATACTCAGAATTATTTTACAAGCTAATTTGAACAGAATGTTTTATTTAAAATTTTATTTTGTGCTAAATTCAAGGTGGTTTTTAAACAGTCAGATCTTTTATAGAATATTTTAAATTTCTGAAATTTCTGAAGAGTTAATACTAGAAAAACTTGGTATGTATTAGGACGTGATTGTGAAAACACTTAAATAGGTGACAGGTTTCAGAGTGGTAGCCATGTTAGTCTGTATCAGCAAAAAGAACAATGAGTACTTGTGGCACCTTAGAGACTAACAAATTTATTTGAGCATAAGGTTTTGTGGGCTAAGCCCACTTCATCAGATGCATGCAGTGGAAAATACAGTCGGAAGATATATGTACAGAGAACACGAAAAAATGATAATAGCCCACCTTAATCGATTACTCTTGTTAGAGTTGGTACGGCAATGATTTTTTCATGTTCTCTGTATGTATATCTTCCTATTGTATTTTCCACTACATGCATCTGATGAAGTGGGCTTTAGCCCACGAAACCTTATGCTCAGATAAATTTCTTAGTCTCTAAGGTGCCACAAGTACTCCTTGTTCTTTAAATAGGTGAGTAAGTTAGAAATCAATGTGATTACTCCATGACTACAGTTATTTAAGTGTTTTCAGAGTCAGACCTTAAATTTGTAATTCTCCTCCCTCTATGTATCTCTCCACTGGCTCTGCCTAGTCTCTCACATTTCAATTTAAGCTTCTTGTCCTGGTCTTTGAGGCTCTGCATAATTCCCTCTGCTTATCCAGCTTTGTTTTTTATCATGTTGGCCCTGACTTCTCTGCTCCACTAATGATAACAAACCTGGATGCCCCATTCATTTGCTTCTCCCACAGTCATCTCTACCGTTTTTCCATGCCTTCCCTTCCTTAAACTGATGCAGTAGGCCCAAATCCACATCCCTCCTCTCCTTCAGAGTCCTTAAAACCCACCTATATTGTAATGCTAATACAATGTGGCTTTTTGTACCCCTCTAGTAGACAGACTAGACACACAGGTATAAAGAGAGAGGTGTTGAATCTTTAAAAGAGGCAAAGGTGTTGAATCTTGTTACTTTCTGAGGCTACAGCTACACTAGAGAGCTTACAGCAGTAGCTGTCAATGTAACTTTCATCGCTCAGGGGGCAGTTTATTCACACTCCTAAGTGACATAGGTTATGCTGACATAAGCTGCAGTGTAGACATAGCCTCAGCTAACAGACTTGGTCCTTTGGCTTGAGGAGTAGAGGTTTTTGTTTTTGGGTTACATCTAGCCTATGGGTGTTGAAACTGGGACCTAAAAGCATAAGGAGTTCATACATATGCTTTTGTTGAGTAATTGTATAATCTTGTTGCTCTGTTTACGTTCCCTCTTTCCCCACTCTACTGTTTTGTTTTCCCTTCATTGTGTTGTGTCACTTAGATTGTAAACTTTTTGAGGCAAAGACAGAGGATGCATATTTTTTTGTGCTCAGTAAATAAACTAACTAACATGGAATACTTCAATTCCACATTATTTAAAACAAAAGAATGTCCCCTACCTATTTGTTTCATTTTAATAAAAACGTAAAAGTGCCATTAAAAATCTTACCGTGTGAAACAATCAGTTTGACCACATTTGTTTGAAAATATTGTACCTTTATTGTTGCAAATAGCACCTGTGGCTTGCTAAGAAGTGTGGTTTAAACCCCCCCTCTATATAGATAATTTATAGGCAATTTGTGACAGCACTTTATATACAGTAGAACCCTCAGAGTTACTAACACCTTGGGAATAGTGGTTGTTTGTAACTCTGAACAAAACATTATGGTTGTTCTTTCAAAAGTTTACACCTGAACATTGACTTAATACTGGTTTGAAACTTTACTATGCAGAGAAAAATGCTGCTTTCCTTTATTATTATTATTATTATTATTATTTTAAGTACTTTTAACACAGTACTGTACTGTTTTTTTTGTCTCTGCTGCCTGATTGTGTACTTCCAGTTCCAAATGAGGTGTGTGGTTGACTTGTCAGTTTAAAACCCTGTTGCTCATAACTCTGAGGTTCTACTGTAGTCAGTTTGTTTCTTTCTCCCTGATGGAAAGACTATTCCAACCCTGATATTCTATGATTCTATTATATATATCAGTGGGAGGGAAGAACGCAGTGTCCCTTTAAGCAATATTTGAATATAGTTGAGATTGTGATTACAAGATGCTGATACTAAATTTGAAAATTCAGTATTTAACAGAGAGGTTTGGTATTTGTGAATTCTGCTTTTAAAATTTGAAAGAGGAAGGTAAGCAAATGATCCTTTAGTATATTTTACCCAAAAAAGGATATATTTTACTGATGGATTTATTTCTTTTGAAATCTCTTCTTTTCTTCAATGGTGTCTACTTTTATTATAGTATTTGCATGCTGTATTGATCTGGTGAAACATTTACTTTTTTTTTTTCCCCAAGTCTGAAGTAGAGTTAGTAATGCAAGTTGGCGGTAAAATAGTGCATGTTGTCCAGAATTAGTTATTGTCTTTGAGATAAAGTTTCCAATTTCCACTTTAAATAATTCTCTTCTAAGGGAGGGTTGAGCAGTGGAGTGGATGTCTGCTTAAAATTACCAGAAGAGGTGTAGCTAAAACTGCTTAGGAAAGCTGTCATATTTTCAAGTCGACAGCAAAAAAAACTAAATAAGATGCAATGCCTGGATATCTTTTCTCCAATCTTGCAGTGACCAGTGTTTGAAATATTTTTTTTTAAAACTGTGCAAAAAGTTACAGTGAATTTTTGTTGTTGTTGTTGGATGGGGGCTTTGATTCAGCTTTTATATTTGTGCCTCTCGCGTATTAAAATTTGAAACATTATTGGATATTTAGTTTATTTAGAATAACGTGAATATTAAGTAATTTTGCAACCCTTTGCTTAGTAATGTATCTCAGGTTGGCACACTTTTAAGTGGTTTGGGTATCAAGGTAGATGCGACAGGACTGTTAAAAATACTTATTTGCTTAGGACCACTGGTTCAAATCCAGGCAGCCAATTTTTGAGTAGATAAATTGAGTACCAGGCAGCTTACTAC